TCCTCCCCAACAGCGTTGCGTGACGAGACAAAAACGGCTGCCGGAGAGGGAGAGTACACAGAACTTGACGTGTCTTGCATAATCTGGCTGCAAGAAGCTGTCTGGAATACAAGAGGGAAATCAACAGAATAGCCAGTGCCAGACTCTACGATAGTAAGACGGGCGTGATCTGGGAATGGCGGTGGGGCGTCTCTCTCTACAAGCCCCGCGCGTTTTTCGCATCAGTTCACTCACGATCTCCTGATTCACGATCTTGGAACCTGGAACATGCTTGCACAAGAACTTAAATTTCTGTCCCATAATACGGATCATAAGCTGTCAGTGTACCCATAGAAGCTTCTGAAGCAGATATTGACCTCTGTCGTACTAATTGTACTGGTGTATGTGGATTGGCTTCGGAGTATGACACAGTTCTTTTTCGGGGCGATCCTCGTACTGAGCTATCGAAACCTTCATCTTCTTCGTAAAATACTTTCACGGCGTCTCCACTGACATTCAGCAAGCACTGGCCCTACAAATCGGTCAAAGATAATTACACTAATTATATAAAACTCATTATGTAATTAACTCTCGTCCCCACCCCAACAACCTACCACATTAGAGGGGACAGTCATCTTAGGCTTCGTTTAAATGGAGAAAACGTGTCCCGGTTAGTAGGGTCACCCTCTCAAACAAGTCAACCTAGTCGAACGTTTTAATGAGAAAAAAGTTGACCCCTTTGACCAAGCCAACACGGCCCGCGCACGCTCACTTTGGCTGGACAAGCCAAAGTATTAACATGAAGAAAAGTTGGTCTGGCTAGGAGGGTGACCCTAGCATGACAAAGGGGTGACCCCGTTAGGCGGGTCACCCTTCTATCTGAGCAAACTTTTTGTTTGACATATAAAAGGTTCGCCACGTTTTGAAAGGAAATATATGGCATACATTTATATGTGACGCTGCAAAGAAAGTCAATTTTACAGCTTGCCCTTCGGGCAAGCTGTAACTAACATCTACTAGTCCGAAAGTCATTTTCACTAGCCCAAAAAAAATTTTTGGCGAGCACAATGAAAAAAAAATTAATTAATTATTCCTTTCTTAATTACACTGTAAGTTAATAAATTACTGACTTCATTTATTCATTACAATCAGCTGCAGTTAGTTAACAAAAGCACTAAATAACCGTAAAAGTGTGAACTATAAGTAGACCTGGTAAGATACTCTTGACACACTAGTACAATAATTCAGTGTTCCCCTTTTGATTATAAATGCTTTTGTCTTGAAAGTCAACTCACAATGATGAAATAAGGAATTTAAGTGAAGCTAACGGAATGAGGGTCCAAATAACAAATAACACAATGCTAAAAACTACATATTACTGGTTAACCTCTTGTGAAAATGTCCAAATTCTCAATCTTCTGTAACGCTTAGAGTTCAACGCAATATTCACTCCCGATGTCTTCAACTAGTTTGATCTAGTTTTGCTATTTTGCTCTCGGCGCTGCCACACTGTAGAATTTTTCCTAAGTCCACCACAACAAGTGAATGATTAACATGCATTTTAGACATTTTACAATTTAGAAAAACATTTGTTAAGAAAAAAACGCCGTTGACACCGTGAAACCAAAGTTCTCAATGGACACACTAAACGACAACGTAGACAACGCGAAAAGCTGCTAGTGAAAGCGCTTCCTTCTGCAATTTGCCGCTGGAGTATTTCTTAAAGGTTTGTTTGGGAGTCGGTTTTCCGAGTCAAAGTGGAAAGTGCGAGTGCCAAGTCACGCATTAGCTGATTAGTGAGCAAATATCATGCAAACAAAAATTATGCAAATTTGAGGTTCATCTTGTAACAAGTAACCAAAGCTTTTGGGTTTCAAAAGAACAAAAATGTTCGTTTTATTTCTGGCAACTTTTAATCTGAAAGATTTTCGTGAAAAGTGAAAACAATACGAGGTGGTCTACATATTTTAATCAACAAACACCTACAGTATCAGTGTTTAGAATTTACCATACTGAAACGCACGTGACTAATATTTGCTAAAACCACAATAAATTCCTCACAGGAGTTCAGTATCAAAACCTTTTAGGTTCCTCACAAATGATTATGAAGCAAAATTTAGACAAACAGCTTTCTCTGAATCAGTAAGAATTAGTCACGGGCAACATTTACCTCCAAAGTTTTTTTCAATATCTGCTTTTCCTTTACGCCTGGGATCTCAATATGTCTCGTCTGACATATAATGCGATACTTCGTCCTGTTTATGCAGATTTCACTTCGTCGGAGCGACTTTCCGTCCGCAGGAATTTATTAGGAATTTAGAACATTTTGTCTTACAGTACTTCTGTAATTTTACTTCTCCGAAAAATCCTCGCTTGCCCGTCGGGCAAGTTAAGCACAGAATTCTCTAGCCCGATCGAAAAATCCACTAGCCCCGGGCTGTCGGACACGACTTTCTTTGCACGCTGCGCCCAGGGTACCTCAGGTAGGCGGTTGACCTTTCTACTCGGGACGCTTTTTAGTCTCGCTTGTGAAAGAAGCGAGACTATAATCTTCAAGCCGTTTTTCATCGTATTTAGGAAACAAAAGGGCGTCGGGGTCCCAGGCGTTCCTAGCGGAGACCGTGGAAACTGGGAGTAAGAATCGTTGCATGACCGAAGCGTGACCAAAGATAAATAAATTCGCCTCAGAGCTTTTCGGAACAGGTCGGCCCACGAATTCTATCGCTTGAAAGAGTTGATAACTTTGGAAGAAGTGAACACTTCAGCTGAACACTTCAGTGGTCGAAAAAAAGAAGAATCTTAATTAGCAAAGGCTAACTGGTCGGGTGTTGTAAACTTTTATTGTATGAAAATGAGTCTTGTGATGAGCATGCGGTTTATTTTCGGCGATGACTGAAATGAAGCGAGACTTAACGCCGATAGTAAGAGCGTTCTTGTTATCCATATATATGGGGCCTAAAGATGCGTTCGATTGACCTTATTCTGGGATAGGAATACACAGAACCCGGAATTTTCGTTCGATTGACCTGCTATTCCAATTCCGGAAGAAGAGGAAGAGTGCATTCAAAACACAGTGAAAACATACTAACGGAATATTGACATCAGTCCTGTGCTTCGCGGGAGGTATTTACAACAGCAAAGGAAATGGCTGACGTCGTCGGTATATCGATTAAGCCGCGAAGAAACTACCACATGGTTCCTTACATGAGGAAACCAAGAAAGCTTCTTCAAATTTGTTTTTTAGCAACTGAGATGATTAAGTAGATTGGCCAGCACGGTGGGATTGAGAAGCTGATGTTTCAAGAGTTTATAGGACACGTCAGCTCCTGGCTTACTGTAGTTTGCGAAACGAAATGGAGCGAAACGAAACGAAATGGAACGAAACGAAATGAAAATCTGTAGTTTGCGAAATGGAAATCCTCTGGAGAATGCCGACTTCAAATTCAGCGTGAACAACGGAAGGAACAACGGAGCAGAAGGAACATCGCTTAGCACAGCGAAGGCAACGCCGACAACAAGAGACAGAGGAACTGAGAGGAATAGGAGATTGGAATCAGAGGCATTATGATCGTTTTACACTGTCGAAAACCCAGATTTCTTAGTTTGCCGGTTTCCCCGCCGATATATAGATCAAAGTCTGCAAAGTTCCAGCTCTGTATTACGGCCCGAAGAATAATAATTTTCGGGCGAACTGCACCGGGCCATATTTGTTCTTTGTTTTTTTTCTTTTTCTAAATCCGGACGCAGAAATAATGCTAAATCTGCTTTTCAATACACTGTTAACAATAACACCACATAATACGCAAAAAAGAAGAAGAAGAAAAGAAAGAACAACGTATGGACCTTTAAGACGATATTCGCGGTGGGTCACCCATCCTGTTCGTAACCCCGACCGACAGGACTTAACTTGAGCGCCTGAGCTTAAGTTAAATTTTTCTGGGCGAAACAGCTTTTTGGGGGGAATTTTCTGTTTAGAATATCCGAGTAGACGCAACGGGAATAGAGTACGAGTAGTCCGCCATTTT